AAGGTCTCCTTGCCTTTAATAGCAGGTATCCTTATAGATAGGTTGTCTTTTGTGTAGGCCATAGCTTTAAATATCTCTTTTAGCGTCTCCTTTTATAGGAAGGTTTCCCAGTGGTTGAGCTTAGCTTTTTTAATAGCTTTTAGATATCTGTATTTTGCAATAAGATACTCTTTTTTCCACTGGTTGATTTGGCTGTTGTCCTCTCTACTAGCTTCTCTTTTTAGGACTCGAAAAGCTCTGTTTTGATCCAACTTTAGGTTATCTAGCTCACTAGTCCACCAAGGTTTTGGCTTTGGTTTCTGGCTAACTAGTGGGGTGGATTCTTTTAGAGCTGTTTGTACTACTGTTGTAATATCTTCTCCTAGTTTCTCTAGTTTCTCTACTAGGGAGTTAACTAAGCTAACTTAAATAGTATAGGAAAAAAGCCACTAGCAAGAATCTACATACGTACGTAGCAAAATACAAGTAGAAGATAAGAAAGCAAATCGCTATTCCTAGCAATACTAGAAGAGAGATTTCTAGCGCTTTTTACTAACTTAAACTAGGGCACTATTACCTAAGGGACTACCTATATAAGAGAGGGAAAGTGGATTCTGATAGTTGCCCCTGCAACTATAGGTCTATACAAGACCTACCTTATATTCTATTTAGATGTAATCTATATAGAGAGAAAAGGAAAGGACTAAGAGAAGCCTGCAAAGGCGATCTATTACTACCTATCCTCCTTTAAACAAAAGAGGGTATAGAAGCAACTATTACCTTTATTTAAGAAATAAAGGCTAGAACACAAGCCTAGTACAAGGGAAACACAAAAAACGAGGAGTAATACCTGTAATAGGTAGCTATACACCTCCCCCACTCTATCCCACCCCCTATCTACTAACTAATAGGCTACGAGCCTTACCTTCATCTAGTTAAAACCCCTCCTAAATATTGTAGCTAGAACAACCTACTTAGATACTTGTAGGCCTAAAAACCCTACACGTCTTATATAGCCCTTTGGGCTAAAAAAGGATGTTAAACTAGAATAATAATAATAATAATATTAGGAAAGACACCTTTATCTGATATGAATAGGATAATTTTGTATTGACCTATGTAAGATAAGAACTTACAAGAGAGCACTTTGCTAAGTTCACTATAAGACGTGTAACATTGGAATCTTACCTATTTTTATACCTGTTGCTTTTTTTACTTATAACTTGTGTCCTTAATCAACTTCCTAACATCTCTAGATGTGATGGCATCTAGTTTATTAGCGAGATGCCAGATCATGTAATCAACACCCACTGGTGACTAATACCTCCTGACCTGGACGTTCGTTAGCTTGCAATCGTTTTTCTACGTCAAGGAGTGAATACTCCTTGTTGCCAGTAACACTATTGTATTTGAATTTTGCTAAGTCTTCCTTAGCGGTGAAATAGCCTCTAAGTTACTCTTCCATGCCCGACATGGCCTGGGAATCTAACAAGAGAGATGCGCATCATTAATCTTGCTGTGCGGTGTCTGTGCAAAAGCTAGCCCAGAGTGCTTAACAGAAACACCACACAGAACACTCCATTCATATTGATCATTAGAATCATTGTCTTCTCCATGCTACTACGGCACCTTGTGCCACCACAACAAACATTGTTTTTATATCTTTCGACTATCCTATCATTTCTTGAAAAGGGGTAAGAAGACGGAGATAATTTGGAGACCTGGTGTTGAACCTCGCTCTGAAAGTCAATGCCTAAGGTAATACGCTAACTCCTGGAAGTACAACATCGCAAACTTCATAAATTATAAGACCCGTTTCACCTTAGATGTCATTGTTGCAATCCTCCTGATTCATTCAGATGATAGTGGGCTCTCAGGACATGCTCATGCCTTCAACCTCTTGAAAAGAATCTCTTTTGACGGGTCTGGCAAGCACTATAAGAACCAGTCAATATCTCTCTTCATTCTAGGATGATTGTTCGGAGTACATACCTCAGCGCCATGCTCAATATTCGGCCATCGCGTCGTCATTCCATCTACCATCTTGATGTCGTACTCAAGCAGCAGTTTCGCCAAGATCAACTTGATCTCGTTGTTTGCAAAAAACCGCCCGGGACACGCGTGTCGCCCATAGCCGAATCCAAGATTCTGGTCGTTAACATTAACAAAATGATTGCGCGCGCTAACCTCATCTAACATAGTGTTCTTGCGCATTTTATATGCGCGGAAGCCATCAAAAGTATGGGCATCAGGGTAGAGATGGTCGTCGTGGTAGATGGAATAAGTGGGTGCTTCGATGTTGACACCAGCAGGAATGTATTGGCCGTTGGAGAGTACGATGCCCTTGAGGACCTTTCGGAGGAAGGATACTAGATGTCATGAGTCAAAAAGGTGATAAAGGATTCTGTGGACGTACTGGTTCCGAAGTTGTAGAAACGGAAAACCTCTTTCATGTAACTGTCAACTTTCTCCATTTCTTGCAATGCTTTGCTGTTCATTATCCCTTCGTTGTTGGCCAAAGCTTGAAGGATCTCCTCACGGAGTTCATGAATGTATTCAGGTGTTACCACTAGACTGTAGAAACTAATGATAATGTTAGCAAATGAACACATCAGCTTCTGTCAACGGAACACACATGTTAGTTGCCGTCATGACAGTCGTGTGGATAGCAGTAAAAATGATACCCAATTGTAACTTTGAGATCTTTTCCATAGTATCGAGCTTGAATTGTTCCCGCCTATTCAAAAGCCATTGGAGCATGTCATCAGGCTCCTTCCAATCGTCTCTCTTCTCTCCTTGGAGGCGAGCTTCTACAACTGGTGTGAAGAATTCCTTTGCTAATTTTTCACGCTTCCTCAGCTGACGGACTTCCGGCGTTCGGTGTGCGAGTAGCGGACGCAGAAGAGGCCGCATATTTTTGACACGGCGTTGTGCAGCCATCAGTTCATGTGTATACTGGATGCCCATTTCCAAGTATTTCTCGTCTAGATAGAGATCGGGCCCGACGAAAATGCGGCCGGACATCTTCGCCACAATAGTCGTTAGCAATCCATAGATGCAAACCGGTGTCCAGTCTTCACAACTGGGCATATCGCCCTGGATGGCTTTGTCGGCCACTTCAGATATAATCGGGGTGAGTCGAACTAATAGAGTTAGTATCTGTAATGACAATGTTCAATTCGCTCCAGGATATCATACGCAGAGATGGTGTCAGGTCGGCCTTGATGGTATGCGCAACGATGTCTTCCTCGGCGAGAATCTGCGTGTATTTCACTTCCAAAAACTGTTACCGATGAGCCTCGATGCATTTTTCTCACTTGTGCTAGGTCACATTAGACCTTACATCTGCTACAGCCTTTCCAGCGCTCAGCGTGTTATCCGGGAGACGCCTTAGTTCGTCCAGAAACTTTCTCGGAATGACAACACTGTCAATGCCTACAAGACTCAGAAGACCTTCACATATGTTCTCCATTATAGTCGCGTACCATCAGCATTCGACATTCGATAGACCTGATCTTTGAACTAGGGGTATCATCAGTCGGTGTATTCCTCTAATGCATTAGGCACCATCCTGCCACTAACATTTTCGTATCCTTCGCGATAGAGTGCCTTTGCCGATTTGAGATAAGTTTGCCTCGTCTCTTCGTTGCTGCCAATTTGCTGGCTTCTCAGCCGGGGTATCCGAGCGAGGTGGCGCTTATAGTTGAGGTGAATAATGTATGTGTAGGCAAAGTAGGTAATCGCTGCTGCCGTTACCGCTTGAACAATCTGAGCGATGACCGGACTGGTTTTCATTTCCATGGCGGGCAAAGGTGGAGAGAGATGGGTGCCCGTAAACACCACTAAACAGGCGAGGGTATTAAGTAGGAAGGCTGTTTATAAGCATGGGCATATCGCAGATTAGTACCAAAATGGTAGTTAGAATCCTGAGCAGTTTCCCTATCTGCAGAGGCACGCACTTCGGCCGATATGCCGTCAGCTCTTGCGCGGGCCAAACATTGGTCAATCCCAGCACTGACTTCAATACTATAAGAGTGTCCTAATTGAGTTACGGCAAAAGTTATTCGTCCTACCACTAAGCGGCTATCTAGCCTACCACTTAGCAGGGGTCTGCATTAGTGGGCTTAGCTAAAATATTAGTAGTATTCTATATTACTTACTATAATATAGCTATACTATAGTAAGTTCTAGTATATAAAAATAGCTAGTATATTAATAAAAGTTTAGTAGTATTGTATAGCTAAAATGGATGTTGTAAAAGTAGAAAAAAAGTAAGGCTTTAAAACTAGCTATATTACTTAATTTTTAGTATTCTATATAGCCTAAAAACTAGCCTAAAATAGGCTCTTAGCTACTTACTAAAAAAGTTATAGCTAGCGTAGTATAATAATTATATTAGCTCACTATAATGAGGCTTTTAATTATTATCATAGTTTTTACTACCTAAGTTTTATAGTAATTTTTAGTAAAAATGTAAGTAGTATAAAGAATAGAGATATTACGCAATAGCTAAGTAGTTAAAATAGCTAAAATAAGTACCTAAAGGCCTATTTTAAAGCCCTATGATAAGGCCTTTATGAGTAGGGCCGTACGCAAGTAGTAATTAAAAAATTAGGTAAGCAGCTAGGTAGGCAGGGTAAGCAGCTAGCTAGTATAGAAGCAGTAGCAGTAGCAGTAGAAGCTAGTAACTTAGCTAGTAGCCTAGCTAGTAGCCTAGCAGAGCTATATAAGGCTGCTAAGATAGCTATAGAGTAGCTATTCTAGCTAAAACTTAGTAGTGTAGCTAAGCCTAGTAGTAGTAATTAAGTGCTAAAGGCTATAGTAAAAGTAGTATAGTAAGCTACTTTAGCAGCTAGGCTTAACTTACTACTTAGGCTAGTAGAGTAGCTAGTAAGGTTACTAAATTATTCGTATTTATACGCTTAGAAAAGCTAGGCTTATACTACTAGCTTAAGCCTTTTTTATATAATTTTCTTACTTATTTTGACTATAAAATTAGTATAAGCTTGAAAGGCATTTGAGTAACTTTAACTTCTAAAGCTTAAGATTAGTTAATCTACTAATATAGGTTAAAATCTAATAGCTAAAGCACTTTAGAGTTAAAGTTAAGATTGGTAAAAAGATACTAGGAAGGCATCTTAAGTAATAGCCTATACCAATTAATATAGGCTAAAAGCTAAGAGCTAGTTTATTACATTTTTGCTACCTCTACTTAAGTAACTATAAGCTATTTTATAGTTTCTTAGAGCGCGTAATAAGTTATTTAAAAACTTATTATAATAACGATATGATTGTAAGTATTATAATAAATTCTAGTATTGCTTTATATATTAGTAAGAATATTAGCTCTATAATAAAAGATATAGAAGTTCTATAGCTGCTAAAAGAGTTTTAATATATTAATACTAGAGCTTTAGATCTATTACTTAATAACGTAGTAAGCGCCTTTAGCCTTACTCGTAGTAGTAAGGCTAAAGTGTATCCTAATAAGAACTTTCTAAGTTACTTATAGCTTAAGATGTCTACTAAATTTAGTTATAATTAGGGAAGTAGAATATAAGTTAATTACTAGGCAATAGATAAGTTCTTCAAGCTTCATTTAAAGCTTCTTAACCTGCTATTAGTAGCTATTTATAATACTAACCTTGTAGCCTATTGTTAAGAGTAGGATCTGAGTGGAAGTAATATAAGACTTCTGGTGTCAGACTCTTGAGGTTGGTTTTCGCGGATGAAGCAACAGGGTGGTATGAACAGTGTCTCTGCAAGTAACTCTTGTATTGTACTTGTACTCGTAACTTAAGTAATTGAACACAATGAGCCATAAGGGCTACATTGCCTATGCTATATACCTATGGTGCTCGTAGCCCTCGGTCAGAGGAGTCCGAGTATTGCTCGGTGGCTGGCGCACGAGGGGCTTTCCTCTGTGGCTTATGTACGAGGAGTCTGCCAAGACCCTTCCTCGTGCATAGAGGTCCGAGGAGGTCACGTGATCCTCCCTTACTCTACAAAGAGGGCGGGGTTGACTGGCTGTCGTCGTTCCCTTAACTTAACCGCTGTGCCTTCCTCCCTCAGGTTCGTAACACCTATAAGTAGTAATGAGGGACTATAATAGCATACTTAAAGTAGTACTAGCTTAAAAATTACTACTATAAACTAGTAAGTTATTATATTGATTGCTATACCTTACTAATCAAGAATAACTATAAGCTGATTAATCATATAAGTAGCATTTTGGCTTACAAGTAATATCGTAATCAAGTAATATTAATAATATCTTAATAATTGATGCGTATTATATGGTGATAGTGTAGGTGCTTTAGAGGCTACTAGCTTACTTAAAATAAAAATACTAAGCTTCTATACTAAATAAGTATTATCTAGTTCGTAGGTTAGTTATAATATTTAGTGCTAAATTATTATATTATAGTGCTAACCCTATATAGTTTAGATGTGCCTACACTAATGCAGACCCTTACTAAGTTGCAGGCTAGATAGCCGCTTCGTGGTAGGACGAATAACTTTTGCCTTGAAATACTTATTAGCTATGAAAGTATTGTGGGTCCCACTTTACTCTTTTGTAAAGGTGTCCTGCAGTTGACATGCACCATCGTGGATTCTGCGGAAGTGGAGTGATATTGTACCGTAGAGGGCCGCTGTGTCAGGGCTTCACGTCGGCATGTATTTCCGTACATACTAGCAGACCGCCTTTCAGACAATATAGACTAAAATCTTGACTCGCCGCGAGCAATATTGGGAAGGAGCAATGGGGGGGGGGGGTTCGGTATCGGGCCGGAAAATCACCTCGCACTTGGTGGTCAACGGGATCGCTGTACAGCACCTCTTATGATCTGACTTGGCTACATTTGTTTTGTTTGTTTTTGATTAAAAGATCTTATTAAAAAGCTGTCCATCTGAAGGATACACAATTCGTTCTCTGTATGGACTGAGAAACACTCGCAAACTAATATAGTAAATTGCAACAGGGCCAAACAATAGCGATTCATGAGAGCTGTAACTGAGCAACGTTAGTGTTGCAAAGTTGCGTAGGGGCTTCACTGAGTAATCATATTGATAGATATGTGGAGGGGGCAGGATGCAGTAGCAGGGGCATAGATTGCGCGGCAGATGCGTCGCCCATTCGGACCGTCACGGATGCAGTAGCAGGGGCATAGATTGCGCGGCAGATGCGTCGCCCATTCGGACCGTCACGGATGCACTCTCCATGGTACCCCAAAAAGGTACAATCAGGTCTAGACCTTGCATGTACTACGCAATGTCTACCAATTCTGAATCTCGCTGCGTCTAGTTTGGCTAGTGTCCGGCACTGTACGAGTAATGGCCTGATTCCTTGTACTAGAATTGCACTCCTAGCTACGTGTGGGAGGGCTTGATTTGTTTGACCCTTTGACAATATACCATTCAAACCCTATATAAACAAATCTAGTTACTAATGAGCACCATCCTTTTCATATTTAATTTGAATTTATTACAGTATTTTGGTATGTAGTTAGAGTTGCAAAAAGTCTGTATATATTGTACTATAAAGTATATGATAGTGATACATAGCACTTTTAGAATATAAATTCATTCAATAGTTACAAGGTGAGATTAAAACCATAATATGCTTGGCTTGTAAAGTTTGAAAAGCCTTTGAGATAAATAGCGTCCTCAAAGGATGTTCGTATTGTTGCCTAAGAAACCCATAGATAGTAAACAGTAAGGTTGATCTTTATAACATGTAACTTGAAAGCTAGATTAGTGAAGCTACAACAACATACATATATAAGCACTTCTATAAACTTCGTATTTATATGATCTCATGAACTGTAGAGAATACAGTTAATAGGTATAAATAAAGACTATTCTCTTACAATTGTATAGTAAACATAGTACGACTTTGTTTTAGTTCACTATGTATTTAAGATCTGTTAGTACGTTAAAGTATTTTCAAACTATACAATGTCTCTAGAAGTAGTGATTAAAAGTAGTTATTGCCACAGCGCAGGTTAGACAAGTTAGATCTATAATAGTTGTAGGATTCCTTAGAGGCATATAGGAGTGTGTAGGATCTTATAAGCCTACATGCAATAATGTATTTATAAGCTTTATATAAAAACAAATATTCAAAATTCACTAAACGAATTATAAAAATGATTTCAAAAAATCTTTAAAAGATTTTCAGTTTAAGCTAAACTCAGGTGTTTAAAAAAAGAATAAAACATAGTAGGCCAGCCATTTAATTTTATCGTTTAAAGTTATTTTTAGTAGATTCTATTCTGCATTTATTATGAATCTCGGCTTATAATATCATCAAATTACTTTTGGTCTTATAAATAGCTTGTATTATTGCTAAATAATCTTTATATATTCTCTTGAGATGTTATTGATATTATCCTATAGGTCAATAAGTTGTATATTCATATTCTATATCTTAATAAGCTACTTTTTATTTACTTTTACTTACTTCTGGGTTAACTGGATCCATTGTTATTAAGCTTAGCAAAATCTGTTTCTAGTTATTATAGTATAGTAATAGAGTTGACATCTAGAATTGAATTTTCTACGTGTTACTGTATTTCTCTCTATTTTATACATATAATATGAAAAGATGTGAAATTAGAGAAAAGTATTTCAAAAAATTAAGATTTTAGAACTAGTATGATTTAGCTAAAGGGATAGCTAAAACTCAGTAGGTATACAGAGGGATGACGTTAAAGAAAGTGTTTAAAAAAAAAGAGATTTAAGAACTGGGTTAACTTAGCTAATATAAGAAGTATAATCAAATAGGGCATAGATGTAGAAAGTAGGGACCTAGTAGTTTA